TTATTTGAGGATTGATTGTTTTCCCGAGTGTAATAAGGTGTCCCCCCCCAAAAAAAAAAATAAATAAATAAATAAATAAAAAAACTACTTGGGTTAAGTTTAATCTTTTCAATGGACGCTATTTAAGTCTACAAAGTGTCAACCCCTTCCTTATTTTATTTTTTCCAATTCGATCATTATATAATATAATATAAAACGCGTAAGGCATGTATACACAGTGCTGCAGGGATGATGCGTGGTCGCCGTAAACGTATGTTATACATAAATAGGGTGGTTTCGGCGTTATTATATTATGTGCGCACTGCAGCGTACATATTATGTAAACTCGGGCGAACCTGCTGTCTGCGGGGGAGGGGGGCCGGAGCCGTCGACGAGGCGAATTCACGAAGCAAAATTACACGGTGCACAGTGGAGTTCAAAATAATATGTATAATATAATATTTGTGGGTATAGCAGCAGCAGCAGCAGCAGCCAGCGGGTCGTCTGTGTCACGTCAATGCACAGTGTGCGCGATGATCCGATACGACCGCCGATAAGAGAGCGCGAACGGCACTGCGGCCGTATTGTATATACGACTGATTCGTATATTATATGTATATAGGTACCTATATAATAATATAATAATATAATATTGTTATGTGTAATAGCCGACGGAGATGAAACTAACGAGAAGAGATCGAAGAGTTGCGGAGAGAGAGCCGGTCCGGGCCGCCGGTCGGGGGCGGGGTACGATGATTGGGCGATTTTCGCTCTGTCGGGTTATTCTCCTTTTTTTTCTCTATCTTTTATTTATTTATTTATTTTTTTTTTTACCATACGTGATGGTGCATCAGTGCGGTGTGTCTCGTAACGATTTCGTTGCGTCGTATATTATTTTATGAAGGTACCTATATAGATAGGTAGGTGGGTTACCGTTCGGTCCATGTAGGTATACCTACACGTCGCACGTCGTTCCCATCGTGTGACTGCGGCGGCGGAGGCACACAATGGCCCCCAGCCCAGCCGGTGACCTTTTGCGCGGGGAGGTGTATATAGTAATACGTACACAGACGAAAGAGAGAAGGAAACGAAAGAATGAAAACCGACTTTTATCCTTATTCTTTGACGCGCGAGTTGACGCAATAATACCAAAGTGATAATTAAGACATCCGAATCGACACGAGGCCGCCGCGCGTTGTTCGCCGGCACAAATCCTACATACATACATATATACGACGACGCGCCTAGATAATAATAATTTAATATATACCTACTCATATTATTATTATTATTATTATTATTATTATTATATACACCGATATATACCCATAACTATATAATATTGTGTTTAATTCTATACACGCTGGCCGACCCGCGCACACACGCTCACACGGTCGCTCGCACACCGGCGCACAGCCCGGCGCCGCCGTATGGAGGTAACACGTATATAAGATACACAGAGATACATGTGTATAAAATATAATATAGTGTGTGTGTGTGTGTGTGTGTGTGTGTGTGTGTGCTTGTAGTAAAACGAGTTGTGCGCACCTTTCAATTTCACACATCACTCGGCCGTCCGCCGCCGCCGCCGCCGTCACCGGTAGTCTTCGCTGCCGGGACGGACATCGTGCGAATAATAATTATAATTATGTTGGATTCAGAGCTCAGACCTTATGCTCTAAAAACGTATAAGACATGCATATGCAGTTATGCGTTTAGAAAAAAAAACAAAAATGTGTGCATATTATATTATTATTATTTTTTATATATATTTTTATTACCCATTCATAAATTTGAATCGTGGTTTATACATTTTAAATTATGCAGAATTCATATGAATATTATTAAGTAGGCAGGCATCTAGGCACATTTTAAATTGCATAACATAATAATAAGATTTTATATACGCAGGTACTATCTTCATTGCATCTATAATAAATTCACAATAGATGTACACAATTTACACATCATATTACGTAGATAACTAAAATAAATACGAGCTGGAAACGTAGTTTAAATATTGTTAGACATAATACCGGCCACAAGATTAAAATCTCAAATAATCGTCTTAGTATTATATTTTCGAAGTTTTTAATCCGAGTGTCAACAAATATTTAAGTTGAAATTGTCTAATATAGGTACATGGGAATTAAAAAATGACGAAACTTGCAGGAAATGTGTTTTCTAAAAAACTCAATAAATCAGCAGCGCACAAACAATATAAATTGATACCACTTCATTCGTAAAGTAATAAAATCAATGTATGGAAAACTGTTACCTGACGATTCCTAAATATTACAGGGCAAAAAAAAACATGCAAATTCAACAAAATTTGAACCCTAATTATTTATGGTTATATCATGTTTAGCCAGCATATACGATGATATTATTTAAGGTATATCGTGTACAATACGCGAGTAGGTATACACCGGGTGCAAAGAGCAGGTTATAGTTTTCTATACAATATATACGTTATAACTTATAAATAACTGTCGAATGATGTTTAAATAATAATCAGACTGCTCACAAACACACACGCGTTAAATATCGTATAAAATGCTTCGTAAAAATAATATAATATATCATGTGCTCGCAAAACTTGAGCGATCGCTATCGCAGCGAAAAACGGGCCGAAAACTCCGAGACCGGGTCAGCGAGTGTACCTATGTAGTTTCGGGCCGTCGGTAATATATTTTAATTGCACGGCGCATCCCGAACGAATAGCAATATAAATGTAAATTAAATATATAGGTATTTGTGTGTGTGTGTGTGTGTGTGAGCTGCAGTTGTCCCGTCATGCGCAGGTGCCGAGCGTTTCCCGCTGTTTGATAAATCGCCCCGGACGGTTATTATTATTATTATTATTAATTTTTTTTTTCGACACTGCGCCTCCGTCGATGATATGATACAACGATTATAATAATAATTATTGTTTTTTGCGAGTGCATACTATATAATAATAATACAACAGCAGACTCTGCGGCGAATCTACTATTATATAGGTACCTATATAGACATGTATAGCAGTACCAAAACACATGCATCAGGATGCAAGCAAATTATATGCTCGGCATTACGACGACGACCATCACCAAGTTACGGGTATTAAACATAATTTAGAGACGTAAACGACCGCAAAAGAACGGTTTTCGTCTAAAAATATTTAACGATTTACTACCACGTAATATTATGGCTTCGAGTAGTATACACTGTTATTATAATTCATTAAAATGTGTGTGTGTGTGTGTGTGTGTGTGTGTGTGTGTGTGTGTGTGTGTGTGTGTGTGTGTGTGTGCGCGCGCGCGAGCGTTCTGCTCCTATTCCCGCAGGTCTAATTAAAAGCGCGAAGAATGCGTGGCGCGTGTGTGTACATTGGTGGCCACGCGTGCACCGCCAAGAGAGAAGAGACCCGACAAGAAGATATACGTCAGCGAGATCGAGCGGTCACGACGACGAGGGCACGTGCGTAATATTATAATAATAATAATAATAATAATAATAATAATAATATATATACGTATATATGTGATGTGTACGAAATAACTCGGCGGGACGCACAGGACGAGATAAATATATTGTATAATATACGGTGCGGTTGTGTTGTCTGTTGGTCGGGTGCCAGTGCGGCGGTCGCAGGACTTTATATTTTTTAATTGCTTCCAGAAGTTTTCGTCCGCGATTTAATTTAATTTATATTATCGCGGACGCGCCCGCGGAGACGTTGAATAATTGCCACCCCCACGACCCACCCGGCCACTATTTAAGTATATTACCATCACGCGCGTGGGTATGTAATAATGCGTATATATAGGTGATATATAGTGAGACTTACAGTCGTCCACAGGTTAACCCATCATTTTATATAGATAAACGACAAATTATTATCTTATTGCAACGCGATATATATTTACCGCGAAATTACCATTTTCATTACTAGTCAAACTCCAGACAAGAAAACCGCAGCAATTCCAGAAAAGAAATATCGCTACCAAGCTATGAGCAATATACCACTATGATGACATATAATAGTAATATGAGCATAAGAGTCGAAAAATTAAACACATAAATGTACAGTTCAAGTATTATATCATCCACTAGAATGTGGGAAAATGTAGGTTATTTCTGTAAAAGTCGAGTTTATTATTGGACATTTTGGAAGAGCTGAAAACTCAAAGGTCTGAGTATCGACATTAATTGAATAATATGTGTTTGATGTTTTAGGACGAAAAACTGCAGTGACAATCTGCACCTGCATACGATCAAAGTAGGAAAATCTTTGATTCGTGAATTTGTGAGACACATAAATAAAAAGATTAAAAACAAAAATAAATACCGATAAAATAGAAGTTCTGAACATAGGCTGTATTGAGTAGGTACATAAATGAATACATACATATATTATATAGTGCATTGAATAAATACGCATATATTATTCTATTGCTATTGTTAATATTGTCACGATATTTGCGAAAATAGTTATCAAGAAAAAATAACAAAATACAGTTGTTAAATTTATCTTTTAAACGGATAGCTATATACAACTATATCAACAATGATATATTACTCGTCCCTGAAAATGAATGTCATTCTCATCACACGGGGTGGAAAATTTCAGCCAATATTTAAAATATAAGCTGTTGAAAGTATATAGTGTTTCTAATACACTTTCATTTCATTTATCAAATCAAACCGATAAATTTGTTACATTGCTAAAAAGCATGCGTAAAAACTACAAAAATATAATTTGTTAATACCCACCTATATACCCAAAATATACTACCTATATGTTTATTATATACATTTATACCCAAAAAGCTAAAACGATTTTTTAGGCCACAATATGAGTAGTTTATCAATTTTAAAATTCCCTGAAATATGTAACTAATAATGATAATGGTTTCCCAACCCCGTCCACACACTGTATTACAATAACGCGGGGCGAATACATATAAATACATAACACATTACAATACGCAAAATATCGTGAGTGTATATCATAAAAAAAAAATCTTTGGGCTCACCTTTGGTAGTCGGCCTTGCAGTAAATGTTACCGTCCCGGTAGAAACATTTGATTTCGGTGGCCAGGGTCCGGGCGCACTGGGAACACTGCAGACACGTGGCGTGCCATCTCTTGTCCACCGCGAACAGATAGTAACGGTCTAGGATTTTCAGACCGCAACCGTCGCACAGGTTCACCTCGGCCTGTTCCCGCTTGGGCCGGACCATCATGTCGGCGGCGGGCGGCGACGTCTCGTAAGCGCCACTGCCGCCGTAAGACGTCGCGTGGCCGGCCGGCGGAGGCGACGACGACGACGGTTCCGGCGGCGAATCGTAACCACCACCGAGATGGTGGTGGTGATGGTGGTGCAGCAGCTGGTGGCTGTGATGGTGTCCGGCTGGCGACGAACCCAACCCGTGGCCGGCGTCGAGTTCCTGCTTGCACGGCACCGCCTGCAGCGGGCCGCCGCGGTAGTCGTCGCGTCCCATGATGGAAATCGGAGGCGGCGGAGGAGGCGGCGGCGGGGACACCTTGCTGCAGCAGTCGGCGGCAGTGGTGCAGTCGTCGTCGAACTCTGACTTGAACGCGCAACACTGGCCGTGCACGCCACCGCCGACCACGCCGACCACGCCGAATACGTTGGTCGTATCCTGGCCGCGGCACGACGTGGTCGGCAGGTTCGGGCTCAGGTCCCTGGACGGGTCGTACGGGTTGGCCAGCATGGTGTGATGGCGGTCATGCTGCTGATTTGCAAAACAAACAAAAAAACAAAACACGTTATAACAATGCACATAATATTTTCATAGATGTAATAAGCGCAAGGGTCACTTTCGGTATATTGTGGAAGTTTTTGGTAGTAATCACAATTTAATGTACACGTGTTTAAAAAATTTAAATTTAAAAATAATGAGATAAAAGTCGAAGAAAACCTTATCGAGGTAAAGAAAATTGGCGACCCCCAGCGTTTTGTCTTAACTATACAATATTATAGTAGCGCCCCGATAGGTATCTCCATCGTTTATTAAGGTTATCGCGTACTGATTCGGAACAGAATAGAACTGACGAATGGAAACAAACGAAAAAAAATGTATAATCTTAAAATAATAGTATTCCGTTAGGTTAGGTTACATATGCACGTATGTATATACGGAAACCAACAGTTCCGGTTGCCGGAAAATTTCGTGTCCCGCGAACAGGTATATATGTGCGTACATTTTAAGTTATACTTCAAACGGTAATAGGGAATCAAACGCGTTCGCTCTATCAAAATTCAGCCTTCCGTGAATGAGATTATCTAGCGATAGAAATAGTTCAGACTTTTAGAGGCGAACGAGAAAATTGATGGCTGCACGAGAACCGTAACATGTAGGTAAAGAGTAAAAACCGAATACAAACGAGATCGTATCGAAAATCAAGAACCTAACCAGTTTTCGAGACTATACAACCAGATGTGAGATGTCCATATTATGTGGTATATACCTATATAATATTATAAACCTATACAATATGATATCTGACAAAATATCGATAACACGGTTTTATTTTAATCTAGACGAAGAACGAGTCTCGAATTACTTTTATTATACACGCGAATTAATTTTCTACGACGCGAACGACGTCGAAACACGATTATTCGTGTAGTAGTCGTCTTCACGCCATTTGATTGTGTTACACATAATGTATTATTATTATAACGAGACAAGAAAAGAAATTTGACCGATGGCGAGTAAAACCGACTACGGCCCCCGAGGGCTGAGTTCGAAACGAGGTAAAAATATTACGTTTGCAAAATCCCTCTATTGTTGTATTATTTAGAGTATTATTATTTCGATGCCCTCACACGTCGCAGCGTCGTCATCGCAGTCGTCCTCATCGTCGTCGTCGTCGTCGTCGTCTCGGATGTCAAGTACCATCGTCAGTGTACATAATAATACGACGGACACGCAAGCGAAAAAAAAAGAATAAAAGAAATGCACAGCACAACACAAAAGGGACAATGGTCATTTTCGCAAATATATATAATCACGAGGCGGGACGAGTTTTCTATTTCAGGTGCGTTTTTATACATTATATATACGCTCGTCTCGTTTTTACACATTATTATCATTATTATTATTCTCGCGCTACCGAATTCCGCCAAATCAACATTCTCTCCCAGTTTCGCACACACACACACACACACACACACACACACACATGCCCTTACTCGTAGATACTTCACTTCACACCACACTTATTCGGGGAAAAAATACCCATTCAACACTACAACATACACTACACGTACGTTTATATTATATTATTTATATTATATAAAATACGTAACACAATAATAATAAAAGGTCACGGCGACGAGTGTATTATCGAGTGGTTATTGTGTGCTCGAATGCCCCTGGTTTTTTTTTATATTATTATTATTATTATTATTATTTTAAAGGTCGGTTTATCATTGTTGGTCAATTTTCTAATAAACGTCATCGGTGAAAAAAATTTGACGTCGCCCCACGATTTTTTCACGGATTAGTCCTCAAACAGTTAAGTTTTAACCTAGAGCAGGCAGTTACGAGATTGTGACGATACAGGGTCCACCATATGGCGCTGGGGGGTTGGTTTTATGACGAGCCGGAGATCCGATTAAAATAATGTATAATATGCATCGTATAGGTACGTCAAAAATCCTATTGCGCAATATATTATGGGTAAACAACTGCCAAACAACAATCCGAATCGAAGGATTTAATAACAATATTATTATTATGTTGTATTGTGTACGAGCGCGAGTCGTCGTGCGGCACCACCTAGCAACGTCTATTACCATTAAAATAGATGTATAATATAATATTGTAGTACTATACTCACTCTGCACTCTCTAGGGCACACACGTCTCCGACAACATTATGACTTTATTATTATCATTATTCGTATTGCATTGTCGTCGGCCGACTATCGTGGCCGACGAATATACAATTCTGTAATATTATTAGAGTACATTATAATATTGTTTACTGCCATACACAACGTATCGCGCGGAGATATCCAATCATTAATAATAACTCTCGCCAGCGTACACACACGTACACACACGTACACACACACACACACACTCGCACACACACACTGCATTATAATATAATATTATACATAGTGATTTGGACGGCTGCCACGGTGGGAATAATCGCAACGCGTCTTTTCTCTTTTTCGTATTATTATTTTATCATTGCGTTTATTTCGGTCGCGCCTTTTGTCCGGCGCTCCGGGGCCGCCCGACACCGTTTCACAGTTTGAATTTTTGAAAAGCCCATCGTCGTAGTTGTTGTTGATAAAAAAATCGGCTAGGCCGCGATGGCGATGACGAGCAGCTTTTCTCCGGTGCGTACGTTTTTAACGCACATAATAATATTATTAAACACGAGCGGCGCTCGACTGCTACACTTCTCCTCTTCCCGACCTACCCTCCCCCCACGACTCTCACAAACTTCTCTTCCGCTACGTCGGTCGTATACCGCGGTCACGTTTTTTTATCCTCGATGATTGTTACCACGAGTATACCTACGCACAAGTAAATGACACACAGACACAGTAATGTACGTCTTTCCGCCGATATCGAGCCAGACCAAAATCGACCGCGGCGCAGTGATACAATAATATATAGGTACAACTGCTCGCGAAATTTATTTCACCCCCCCCCCCCCAGGGGGTGTATACTGCACTCGAATTTCGAACAACAAGAGGATTATACGGGAACCACAAAATCGCATTATCTCGGTCTGTTTGGCGCGAACATTGAACTGTTTTTTTCACCTCTCTCTCGCCCGCCACACGCGCACAATACGCGCCGCTTCTTACACATTTATATATTATATTATGTTGTTGCATTCATTTATTATAATATTGTTTGGCAGCGGTCGTCGACACAATGTAATGATAATAATACGGTGTAGGGATTTGAATAATTGGTAAACTCGGACAATACGCGAACCCGACACGACACCTATAAGTAAACGCAAATACTGCACTGGGGCAGTTTATTATGATGTATTATATACTGCACCGCGTGCGCCATGTTTCCGAGATCGAAACCGTTTGGGAAATCGAAGATCGTGCGTCGATGATTTCTATCAATGTACGAAAAAATATTTCCCAGTTTTAATGCGAAAAATACCTCGCGGAATTATACATCAGCGAGCGTTACATTATAGGTACTCATCTCCATCAGCCCTCTCAACCACCAAAAGAAATGTTTTATTGTATACTTAATCGGGTTGTAAGTACCTGCAGCCCCGCCGGTAAGGATTAATCCAAGGCATTCCGTAGCACCGTTATTTGTTTAATTTTTGTGACTGTTGATTTTTGCCAATCCGAGGGGTTTATACCGCATATGTACCTACCATCTGTCCGGGTACGTTCTTGCTATATATTTTAATGCAACAACAGTATAAACTGAGTTGTACTCGACCGCATACCTCGTTAGCTGCAGCCCCCCCCTCAACAAACAGAATGTCAAGCATGGGAATTCCCTAGAGCTGGTGTAAGACCGAGGTCGTGATCGAAATATTTCTTCGAATCGGAACAGGGCCTAAAGTCTTTGGATTTTCACATCCATCCGGCCACATCAACAATCAAGTCCTATACTGGCGCACATTCGCACTATGATTTGACGCGCGTAGGACTTACGCAAGGTCCACCAATGACCGTGTACTCACCCAATGCATTCCGGGTTTCTGATTGGCCAGGTCTTCAAACACGCCCATCAGGGCTGCCAATGCGACGCGTTGTACAAGTGATTCGCGTGCAACGAGTGTCTCGTATCTCTAGTTGCAGCAGTCTTCCGACAGCGAAGGCGAGGGTGTCATCGACAAAAATCCCGCTGCTGCTGGAGGAGGAGCGGCTCGCGGACAACTGTAACAAATAAGCAGCAAGTTAGACGGTCTGATAGATATATGCACGTACAAAATATTCCTATACAAGTAACCGTCCTGTTTGGTAAAGAAAAAATCAATTTTTCGGTACAATTAATAACAATAAACATCAATCACGATAGTATTATTGTGAAGCAATGATGACGACGATATAAAGTATAATATTTTATTATATAATAAATGTATACCCGGGCTGACGCTTATACGAGATAACAAGTTATAGGCCCGTTGTTTGTTGGAAGTTGTGTACCATACCTATACGTGCTGCAACGGAGGGATAACAGAACAGCACGGGAGATATGATTATAGCGCAAGAGAGCCGAACGAAAAGGTCAATGGGTGCGGCGGCGGCGAGAGCGCAGTCCGACAGATAACCGCGAAACGCCCGGGGGTTATCGTCGGCAGCGGTTTAAGACCATATTATATACCTTTAATCTAAAGGCAACACTCTCTTTCCGGACCACCGGTCATTGTCTATATACATATATGATGTTATTAAATGTTATTATATATATTATTATGTGATACGCGTATACCGATAACCGGGTTTTCTATATCGGCGGTCGGCAAAACGAAAAAGATTACGTTTTTTTCGTTGTTGATCCTGTTTAGACGCGAGCGAGTATATTAAAAAAAATATATCGATTCGGTTTCGATAACATATTATATTATTATGCTTATTACGACTGCATTATAATACCTATGTACTATATACAAGCAACCGCCACTTTCGACGATTATCTCGAGATAGTAGTCGATATATATGTATACGTATATATTCGTCTTCAATATTATCACAATATTATTCCGAGATATGTAGACG